CTAAGAAAACATCATTCCTCCAAACAAACACCTTTTGTTCAGAGGGGTCATAGAAATAGTATCCAATAGACTCTTTTGGATACACCACAAATTAAATAAGATGGATCTCATATCCAAATTACCTCCCGCTAACTGCTTCACATAAGCATTACAACCCCATACTTTCATATACTTGTACGAGGGTGTTTTGCAACACCATATCTCATAAGGTATGCTGAGTACAGCTTTACTCGGCACTCTATTCAAAATATGTGTTGTTGTTTCTAAGGCATAAGCCCAGAATGAAAGAGGTAAAGTATTGGAACTCATCATCGATCGAACCATGTCCAACAATGTTCGATTCCTTCTTTCTGAAACCCCATTGAGTTGTGGAGTTCCAGGAGGTGTCCACTGTGAGATAATCCCATTATCTCTTAAATAATCAAAAAACTCATTGGTCAAATATTCACCTCCTCGATCCGATCGAAGAACTTTAATACTACGACAAATTTGTTTCTCCACTTCGCTTCTGAATTCTTTGAACTATTCAAATACTTCAGATTTGTACCTTATTAGGTATACATAACCATACCTTGAATAATCATCAGTAAATGTTATGAAATAGTGGTAGTTCCCCTTGGCACTAACATTTAGTGGTCCACATACATCTGTATAGATCAAATTTAACAGACCTTTAGCTCGCTTCACTTGTCCAACAAATGGTGATTTTGTCATTTTACCTTTAAGACATGACTCACAAGTAGGCAACCTTTCCTCTCCCCTAAGGTCGAGTTTTTGTCCCAATTTGTGAATCCTCTTTTCAGATATATGACCTAATCGAGCATGCCAAGTTGTGAATGAACTATGATTATCTAATTTTCTTTTATTTTGTTGAATAGTTAAGATGGGATTTTGTGGTGTAATGGTATACAACCCATTTGTCAAATTTCTGGAATATATAAAAGTTGTATCTTTGAAAATTGAACATCTTCCATTCTCAATTACGAACTTAAAACCTTCTCTATCCAATTCTAGAATAGAGATTATGTTTCTTATAACATCCGGAACATACAAACAATTTGTCAAACAAATTGTTACACCATCATTTAATACTAGATAAACAGTCCCAATTGCTTTGACAGCAACTCTTGCCCCATTGCCCATCCTTAGGATTGTTTCTTCATTTTCTAGCTTATTACTTATTGCCATTGTTATAATCCGAATCGATAAATCACCATTAGGAGGTTTTCAGCATCATACTAAGTACTGTGAAATACTGAACCGACGTGATTTGTAACCATGCCGGTCCGCGCAAAGGAAACCAGTTTGAACTACCGAAGACCAAAGTGATTTATACCGACCAACCGAGGTCTACTTGAACCGAGGTCGTCACCTCCTTAAGTAGGTGACGAAGCGCCTACACTCGCATCACACTCTACGAAGCTCGTCATCATTCATGTGGGGACCACTGCTGCAAACCGCCCACAAAAAGCTACTTTATGTAAAAAGTGATACACAGATCCCAATGTATTCATAAAAAAGCTACTATAAATAGCAACCCAATGATATCTGTACAGAGATTCTGATCTCGGATCCCCAAACTCATTTTCCATGTAACACGAAAAAGCCCATCACGGCTATTCACCTCGGTTCACCTCGGACCGGGGCCACTGTTGAATTATTTTGACATGCTTTACGTTTAAACTACGCATAATTAACATCTTATTCTACAAGTAAATCGTTGTTAGAAATCACATAACAACAGTCATCATTTGAAAATCATTGCAAATATGTGAGCCACAGCCGGTATCCAATACCCAAGAAGAATCGTTAACTGATAAGTTAACTTCAACAAAATAATTGCCTGAACTTTTCAGGCTTGCAAGATACTCCTTCCTCTTCCAATGCCCAATTTTACCACAATGATAACATTTATTAAATTAGGTTCAGTTAATTTGTTTTGTTCATGGATACTTGTGATTGGATTTTTAGCCATTTTAGTAGACCGATCTACAAAAACAACAAACGAAGCAGAAAATATTTAGACTATGGAATTCATATTCATTTAATATTAGGTCTTTAATATTAAATGTCTCTCACTATTTTAATTAAAACCCCATTTTAATTATGAAAATATAATTTTCATAATGGGCTTGAAGTCCAATAAAAATATTCCATATCCCAATTTTATGAGTACGCATGGAACATTTATACTGGTAGTCATCTTTTGACAATTGTATCTCTATACAACCTTCAAGATGTTTTGCCTCACCTTTTCTTATATACCTCAATTTTATGACCGTATATATTACTCAGTGTCAAATCAAACCCATCAAACATCCATGATAACGGCCCACCAGAATGTCCCACGACTCATGGTCAACATAAAGAGGAATCCGTCTCACGAGTATCTCTATACTTAGTAGGGATCACAGCTTTCGATACAAAACCACCCTACGACTCATGGTCGGTGATAAAGCATCGTGGCATCTCATGTCGTCTACTTTTGATGGAAGGCCTGGATTAATAAGTTCTAACTTATTTTTATCCATTATTGATTTGATATAGAATTAATCTCATTAATTCTTTAGGGTTCCTTAGATCTCATTGATTACCATCTTTACGTATGTTTATTTACCGCATTATTCATCACATGAATCACATGCATAAATAAATCTAACATACATCTAATGCATGCATACGGTGGGATGATCATGACCTTGCCTATACGACCCATTTGAACCAAAATGGGTCTATGCCTATGTACGTGATAAAACAAATAAATAGAACTACTTCTATTACAATTTATTTTATCTACTCGTACAAGCACAGGCCTTCAAAATTTACAACTTGTAAAATTACCCACACATGCGTGGGCCTTTTGCATCGAACGGTCTCCACCTTGATATAATCTTTCTAACGATACAAAAATTTAAAATTTTACAAATCATAAATCAAGAGACTCGGAGGTCTCGATAAATTACATTCGTTCAATCACATTGAATAAAAATGCAACCATCAATCATATAGAATAAAATGCAATCATTCATCATTATGAATAAAAGGCTCATGATCATCCCTAAATCAACCATATAAATTCACTAATTTAATATGTTGATGTAGTAATGACTCATATTAAGTCAAAAGAACTCTTTTTTGATCATTGATCAGTCACACGACTCATGTGGCTTACTCACACGACTCGTGTGAAAAATGCGAGAGTGACTTGAAAAAATTGCAAAAAAATTTATGTCACACGACTCGTGTCACACCTCACACGATTCGTGTGAGGTGACACGACTAGTCACACGACTCGTGTGACTTCTTCACACGGGTCGTGTGACCCCACACGACCGGTCACACGAGTCGTGTCATCTTGCACGACTCGTGTTTTTGAATACTCTATTCGATTTTTATTCCAGTTCATGTTTTTAACAATTTTTCAAATCAAAATATGATTTTAAGATGCAAATTGTAACGTGGCTCTGATACCACTGTTGGGTTCGATATACTGTACGGGACAGAGTTTGCAGCGGAATTTAAAATTTTTATAAGTATTTATCTTATAAATACTCATTCCGTACATAAGTATAATGAGATAACAAATAAGCATCATTTAAAATCTAGTAACTTTTACTAATTTTGATTTGATATTTAATTTATAAAAATTACCTTTGTTTTTGAACTCCTTCAAAGCCGACGATGTATGAGGAAATCAATTCCCGGTTTGGTAACGATCACTTCTTGTGGTTACTCACTTTAGGAATCCAAATGTCTTCCCTCTAATCGTATCCACCTTTTGAACTTTGGTTCTGACTATAGTTTCTTCGCTAGTAGAAACTACTCGGTTTTTCAAGAAGTATAGAATATATATTTATAAGGAAATTTTACAGGAACTCTTTCTTGTTTTATCATTCAACTCTTTGAATGTTTTTCTCTTGAAAAATTTTAGCCAAAAACTTAGCTTAAATGAACATCAAATATGTCCATATTTATACTAAACATTTTAGTATAAATAATAATATTAGGTAGAATATTTTCATAAAATATAAAAAGTCTTCAAGAATATTTTCATAAAATATTAAATCTTGAAGAAAACTTGGTGGAGCGTTTAATCGGATCTCCCTCACTCTCGAACAATTTAATCATCTCGCGTATGTAGTAGAAAAAAATCGGCCAACACAACTTGTAGGAGAGGTTGGGACATGGTGTATTTATAGGCTCCATTAGGGACCTTAAGGAGGTGCTAAATATGGGCTTATTCCATTAGGCCTAGGATTCCTAATTCTCATCCAATACTAACTCAATCTAGGAAGGAGATCTCCTACTAATCTTCTCCCTTCTAGAAGACTCTCAAGTCTCCTAACACTAGAGAAGATCCTTGTAGGAATTTCCTTTCCTAATTAAATTAATATTCATGGAAAAGAATTAAATCCTAATTTAGGAGACCTAATTTTAATCCAATTAAATAAATAATATAGGAAATATATTTCCCACTAATCCTCATCTTCTAGAAGACTCCAAAGTCTCCTAATCCCTTGAGAAGATTTTAGTAGGAATTTTATTCTCCTAATTAATTAATTAATATGGAATAAAATTAATTCCTATTTAATGGAATTAAATAATAAAACATCCCACTAGAGTAATTTTATTGCTCTCCCCATTTAGCCACTATTTTACCAATAAAATCGAGCCTCCATGATTAATTAATATTAATCTGACTGATCGATTTACCTCCCTATGTTTAAGATATAACGTCCGTTGATAAATGAAATTACTGACAAAGTAATTAATCAACTTCTTATTCATTTCCGAAATTAGTACCAC